CGCGTGTGTGCGTGTGTGCGTGTGTGTGTGTGTGTGCGTGCGTGCGTGCGCGCGCGGTTATGTGCGCGCGCGCGAGGAAGGAAGGGTACGATGCGGCTCTTTGCAGTAACACAGTAAAAAAAATTGTTCTTCGTCTCTGACTGGTTGGCCACCCCTGATATAGATACATGTTGCAGCTCCGAAAAAAGGAGAGCTGTGGTGTTGTTTTTTAAAACGTACACTTTATTTATGCTTTTAACACTCTTGACAAACACGTCTGCCAGACTCTGTGCCTTCTCCACTCTCGTTCGACTCGAGAGGCGTTCAAAGACAGCCTCCGAAAAACAGAAATTAATGATCACTTCAATGACACTAAGAAAAGCGAAAATAATGCACCAAAACAGAAAATCATGCGAGCAAATCACAAAATAAATTCTATGGGAGCGTTTGTGAACACAAAACAAAGGAATGAATCACAGAAAAAATTCTGAGACAGTCCAGTCTCCGAAATACATACAGCATGTGTTTCCTTCATTGTAAGTTTTATAGAAGGCTTTTATTTTTTTGTGGCTCGAGACATATTTCTTTTTTGTTTTTTTTTTGTCCTATATGGCTCTTTCAACATTTTGGGTTGCCGACCCCTGGCCTAGAAGTCGAACACTTGGCACTAGGATAGTGAGCAAGTATGAATAATCTGACATTGTGACTTCCAGCTTTGAAGTCCTTTTAAAGTCCTTTGATTGCAATGATGGTGCTGTGCCGGAGGGGCTTCATCAAACACACACACACACACACACACACACACACACACACACACACACACACACACACACACACACACACACACACACAAATATATGCATGCATACACCCATCCATATATACATAACTACTGCACATAAGTGTACTTAAGGCAACAAGATGACAAAAGAAAAATATTGGCGTGGATTTTATTTGAATGTTTAAATCAAAACTTACCAACAGTGAATTTTTAATGTAAAAAGGGGATTTGTTAACTATGGAAGCCCAGTCCTGCCGATAAAAATGGTCATACTTGTGTTGCTTTGTAGAACACGTGTTCGACCATTTGCATTTACATTTTGCTTTCACTAAATGTCTCGTTTCCACCACGAAAAAATAAAATAAACTGTGAATCTTGAGCAGGCTTTAAAGCAGATGCCAAAACAACAGATGAACACACATAAGTTTAACCGATCAGACGCCCTGTGATATCTTCAGGAAGGCACAACAATGACAAAGGTAAAGGAGTGTCACCTATAGGTGTTGAATCTTAAAATTAAACAGGAAGCACAGGAATAGAAAAAAAAAACTGCATGGAGCCAAAAATGTAACCACCTATTCATATTGTGATATAAGACAAATGAAAACGGAAGCTCTCTTATAAAAAGCCATCACTCTCACTTTTAATGACAAATAACTAAGGCTTATAGTGTATGAAGGTCAGTCAATCAGCATCAATGTATCTCACATTTTAACATCTTACATTAAAAAAAAACCCCACTCAAACTTTGATGTTTTGCTTGACATCATACATCTTTTTTCGTTGATCCCTTGATAGATGACACCTGTGTCCTGGTTATTATTTTTTGCTTTAATTGAGGTGGATTTTTCTCAGGTTTTGGTCGAATTATTAATTACCTCATGACTGAATCTCTGCGGAGGTAGCTCATCTGTCTCTCTAGTAGTTTCCACTCCCATTTATTCCTCAAGTTTTGTAGTATGGTCTGCACACAGGCCTGTGCTCTTCACATCCTACTCCACGTGGCTCGGCCTCATGTGTCACTGCTATTTGAAGAGCATCAAGACTATCAGCTCTGTGGTGAATGCCAGCCCAAACCGGACTCCACGCTGTTTGGTTTGTCAACACAGGCTTGCTTTCGACAGCCTGTTCAATTGTAAATGTTATGCCAAGCGCTTCAAATCTGACTGAGATCTCATGAATAGGTGAGAGCAATCTCATCACATTTGAGCAAGCAGTGCAAATCTAGCCTGGGTTGATTGACACGCCAATCAGCAGGGAGCCGAGCGGGAATATGTTTAACTGCCTGCCCTCGAAGACATTGTGCTCACGCTTAAGTGGAAACAAGGCAAGAACTCCTTTCACACTTTCAACATTCCGTGAAAAAAAGCTCATCGTGTCAGATGGGGATGTAAAGAAAAGAAAATACTTGACCTGGCAGTTAGAAATTCTAACTCCATATTGCTGGTGCTACATGCCATGTCTTCTGAAGGAACTGAGAACCCTTCAACCCAATCAGTGCAATTAGGCGCAAAAGCACAGGGGTATAGTGCCCCCCAGTGGTAGCATGATGTACTGTATGTATCTCCGCCATGGTGCTGGGAGGAATGAAGTGAAAGAAACATTCTGAGTCGAAACATTATGTAAATAGATGTCTCTTCACTTGAGTGATTTGATGATGATTTGAGGTTTCACCACAAAGCCAACCAAATCATTAGAAATAAGGTTGGCAAAGCCTTTTTCGACTGTCTCTCTTTGAATCTCAGGTTTTCATTCCGCAACATTTTCAAAAAATTTAGATTTCCAGCAGAATGCGCTTTTGCATCGCAGCATAAGTGGGCACAAACCACGGTCCTAAAAAGTAGGGTTGGCTGAGGTTGGTCAAGAAAAACCCTCAACAGCCCTGACCTCCTCCCGATCAAACAACATTGGGACAAACTACACGGGAGACCGTGAGGCAGGATCTCTTCTCCAAACGGATACAATTTCCACAGAATGAAAGCACAGACTCCTTCCCACTGTTCAGCAGCACATTATGGAGTGAGTGTGAGATCATTTGGCGTGCTGCACGAAAATACCCAATGTCATCCAATTGGTTTGAAATTTATTATTTGCTCCAAATATGTATCTTTATTCAATCAATGCCAGCTACATATGACATACGGAACAATTAAATCCTCTTCCACTCAATGGCAGAAGGTCCAGTGACAGTAAACCACAGGGATTTATATAACAGAATGATGCATTTTATGTTCAACTGAACAGGGTTAGAGAGAAAAAGAAAAAAACAATGTAAATGAATGGAGAGGAGGTCATTATTATCAGTATGAATAGGCCTAACCTTTCTGGTATTTTGGAGGCAAGATTTTTCAGCTGTAAAATGTGCGCCCAGGGTCAATGAAGGCTGAGAAGCACTGATTGTGTGTATTTGTTTTGGAGGATTATAAAATCTTCTAGGGTGTAGGCAAGCTGTTTTGGTTGCCCTTGGTTTAAAAATGAAATATTGTGCATGTTACATGTCTTAGTCTGACTTAAAAATGATTTTAAATAAATGACCTCTAGTAGCCGTACCAAAAAAAAACAAAACATAAAACAAAACAAAGCATACCCACGCACTTGCAGGGTGCACTGGAAAAACTAAATTCAAAACTGAAAATGGCAATAAACCAAAGTAACAAACAACCAAAAACCCATGACGGAAGCACAAAATGACGTGACAGCAACACACACAAAAAGAAAAAAAAAATCCCCACACATGACAGTGACACAAACAATGATCCGACCAAGACTGGCAAAAACCAGAGAAGTAAATAGAAGCAAACTGACAAGACAACAAGGAACACCTGCACAAGACACAAAGGGTTGAGGGAGCTGATTGGTTAACATAAGGCATCCGGATGACAAGTGGAAACAAAACCAATCGAGGAAGACAAAAAGCACTTGGGGAAACAAAACCAAATGTAATCTAAACAAAAAGAGAAATCATGACAATAGCAACCAATTCAATGCCTTCACGTTTTGATTTTCAACACTAGCATAAACGTTACTTTCGCTTTTGTCCTCTGCAGAGAAGCCTTCGTGACATTCGGATGCTTGTCATTAAGTCGCATGTTTGATATTACGTAGTGTATATTTAAGGTGTGGATACATATATTTGTGTGAACTCAACTTTTCTCAATTCTCTTGTGGTTCTCATTGTATCCCCTTCACTTAAAATTCCCCACGGAGAAGCATGAAGACTGGGTTGACCTACATTGCTTCATGTATTTTCAGCATTCATTGTGCCTTTGCTGACTCTACCTCACTGTAGAGAAGGTGATGTACTGTCATCCCGTTACATACAATTAGGAATGGACTGTCCCTGGATGGCTACCAAAATGCCCTCCTCCCCCATAAGCACCAATAAATAAGTAAATAAATACATAATACAAATAAACTGATTTACTGAGATTCATACTGCATTTTCCTATTCAGCTATCATCAACAATTGATTGAGCATGGCAGGAAATCAAGATTTCAGAAAGACTTTTTAGAAGCGGAGTAGGTTACGCATGTTATTTTGACAGCCTGCAGGTAAGGATTACGGAAGGAATAGGCGCTGTGCACTAAGAAAATGCCAAACGACTTAGTTTAATGGCATTTTAAGAACTCGGTTTAAATATTCCATTGAGCCTCATGAGGTCTACATCCTTTCCGCCTGCAGCGAAAGCACTGTCCTCGCTCTATGGAAATGCACAGGTAGACTTTGCCCTCAGGCTTGCTGACAACACAGGAAGAGCAGAGGAGACTAAAATTGCGGCTTACACAAACCGAGGTGAGACTTGTTTCGATTGCCTTTCGATGATTTGAGTGAAAAAAACAAAGTCAACTATTTTGTCGGGGGAGGTGTGTGTGTGTGTGTGTGTGTGTGTGTGTGTGTGTGTGTGTGTGTGTGTGTGTGTGTGTGTGTGTGTGTGTGTGTGTGTGGGGTGGGGGGCTTGAAAATCAGAACAGATATTTTGAGCAGTTGTAACATTTTGTTGTGTCCAATGTATGCAAGTGACCTTTCGGGAACCCGGATACATGTACTTCTCATATTAAGATGTTTACTTTTGAAAATGTACCAAGATGTTCACAATAGATCACTTCAGAAGTTTAATGTAGTTTGAGTCGTTACGATGGTGACATTAACATAAATGCTATGCAGCACTCCAATTTTTTTGAGTCTTGACAATTCGCTTGGTACGCCTTCCAGTGACACCAAAAATGTTCAGTTTTGGTCACATGTTTAGGATTCTGGTTATTTACTGCAGTGGTGGAGAGCTGCAGTTTCATTATAGAAATGTGAATGTGTTTCTGTTTTCCCCAACAATGAATGAATATACTTCTCTGTGTAATGCAGTGCAGTGCTACCAAGTAGAAACACTTAAACATATTATTGAATTATTACTTCCAAGACCAGTTTAATGCAGCTTTGATAGTGGATCTCAATGTTCAGTATTATAATGTACCTATGGAGTTTAAAATGACCAAATAAACCCATGTTTGTCATTAATTACTCTTTTTTGTGTCAAATATTTTATGATGACTACCCCCCCCCCCCTTGACTGGATGTAAAAAGGAAATCCTGGTTATTGTGTCTCTGTCTGAGATCAATGACCCACCGATGTGGTTAGCAAATATTCTGTACATATTGGGCATTTTAAAACGCATCCTGAGAGCCATAACCAGCCAGGAAGGTGAATACTTATATGGCTCCTTGCGGTTGCATAATGCCTTGTTTTGAAATTAATTTTAAATTTTTCTCTGACATTGGCCCAATCGCCAAAGGAAAATCACCAATGAAAGCACTGACACTCTTCCAAATTATGAGTTCATGTCACAAGTTCACTACCACGACCGATGTTCTTGTGTGCTTCTGTTGCCCAAAAGTCACTCGGCTTTGAGAAAAATGGATGATGTTAATCGTCGCAGAAATGATTTCGATGGACCTTCACCTCCACCCTACAATCCTGACTGTGAGAAGAAATCATACACAGGACAGACGTATCAGGTGGGGTAATTTTTGTACTTATTTTGTTGCACATTTAAGACAAATTTCTATCAGTCTTTTTTGTATGGCCTCCCATGGTAAAGATTAATAGTTTCATTACCGGAATGTCGCTGATGGTGTAATGGGACACTTGCCTGACTTATGTGCGAGCCACGTGGGACTCGATGTGTGCCCTCTGACTGGCTGGCGACCAGTTCAGGGTGCGGTCTGCCTATCGGCCAAAGTCAGTTGGGATACCCTCCTGCAACTCCAACCCGGTACAGACTAAGTCATGCTGAAATTACATGACATGACAAATGGGCGGAAAAGAGGGCACGTTATTTTGCTGGTGAGAACGACAAAATGTTGACAACCAGGTGACAACGTTTTGAACAGAGAATTGGCTATCCTGTGTTTGATCATTTAAAATGGGAATCGCAACAAATCCCAAAATGTTACACAATGGCATATAAGTGCGAGAGCACTGATGGTGTGCTGGAGCCTATCCCAGCTGTCTTTGGGCAGTAGGCGGGGGACACACTAAAAGGTTGCCAGCCAATCGCAGGGCACACACAGCCATTCGCACTTGCAATCACATCTGGGGACAATTTAGAGTGTTTAATAAACCTACCGTGTGTGTGTCAGGGGGGGGGCGGGGGCAAAGAAACCCCACGCAGGCAAGGTGAGACCATGCAAACTCCAGACAGGAAGGCTGGAGCCCAGGCTCGAACCCAGGAACACTGCACTGTGAGAAGTGCTAACCAGTCGCCCTGCATGCCTCCCATAAACATACAGTAAACTGAAAATATCTGTCATTCATCGCCCTCCATCCATCCATGATCTTCAACAAAAACATCACATATATTGAAACCGTTGTGCTAAAGGAGCAACACTTTAGTCTGGAAGGATAAAATATTACAGGACTATATGGTTTTGGTTAATAATTGATGACTGGCACAAATCTTAGGTTGGGTACATTTTAGAATCAACTGAGTTTCTCTGTGAAACAGGACTATCTTTTGAAATTCAAATACAATCAGTTGAAACTAACTGGTAGCACACAAAAGAAATGATTTTAAATGAAACTGATTTCACTCATTAATGACCTAACTGACCTCGGTTACCCCAAACATCGACTCTTTCTTTGCATGCGCTGAAATGTTTCTGTGTACTAGGTGGGGAATGGAGGCATTGCGGTGGTGACTCCACCCTGCAGCTATGAAAACACGGTCTACTCAGAAAGACATGCAGCTGCTGGGGACGAGCATCAGTTTGACCCAGCGCCACCGGTCTACTCTACCGGCTTTCAGGACAGTGTTTTTGCAGATTCTGCTATACGAAGAGGTAAGCATGAGTAACATGTAAAAAGAAGCACCGTTGTTTTAGTTTGACTGTACCAACTGTACCTTCAAGAGCTGAAATCAAGACAATGCTGATATTTATGATCTCATTGGCTTTGGAACGTCATCCATCTATCCATTTTCTATACCGCTTATCCTCATTAGCTCGAGTCTATTTTGCAGCCATTAAAACATTTTATTTCAATTTTAAAATGTCATCACACATGGACAAAGCTGCATTTGAATGTATCATGAACGGTCACTGTGCAGATGACCTTTCAGATCAAAAGTTGAGCTTTATAATACGCTGCATGTGTCATATAGTGAAAAGTCTGTAAATGTGCAATCTGTCAGACTTTGGTGTCTTGTGAATCACAGCCCTGGTGGCTGAGGCTAAGATTAAGACAGTATTGTTACCAGAGGCGATTGCTCTAAGACTGCAAGGGAAGCTCAGCTCTCCCTAAAATATCAAAAAGTAAGTGATCAAATATATGTGTGTACATAAAATTGTGTGGACATGTCATTGACGAAATATGCGCTACAATGCGCTCAACTTTTGTTCCGAATCAGCTTCTTATTACTGGTTACAACGCGACTCTCTTCTCATTCATTCCCTCAGCTTCACTGTGCTTTAAACCGTGTGGACGCTGAGCGTCGACCGCGCAGACGCTGGGCGTCTAGAGAGTTCAGTGTAGGTTCTCCCAATGCATTGAAACGAGACGAGTCATTGGATAAATGCTGGTTTTGTCCCGCCCATCGGACGCTCAGCGTCTCTGGGAGTCTATGGACAGTGGGCGTTTATAGGCTGGCCAGGAAGCTCAGCTTCTCTGCATGATGATTGGATGATCTGTCTGAGGCTGAATCTCTTTCAGAGTGCAATCTGATCACAACTTGTCACCAAACATGCATGTTTTTGGAAGGTGAGAGGAAGCCAGAATACCCAAACAATACCCACGCAAGCACATGCAGAGCATAAGGTCCTCCTAAATTAAGTTAAAATTAGAAATGCTTCACCGATCATTGCTGCAATCTATCTCAGCTCTTCACCTCCCACACATACACATCTTTTGAAATATAACACTCGTTGGTCAGATGCAGAACAAAGTTATGTATTATGCTGAGTAACAATTCTACATTCATTCTATAAACACATGCCAACCTTCTAACTCACACTGATTTGCACATTTCATTAAAGTTTCTGCTTACAGTATCCTCGCACTCTCTTTCTCACCAGCTTTCATAAGGAAAGTCTACCTGACCTTGATGATTCAGCTGCTGGTGACTGTTGGGATCATCTGTGCTTTTCTGTACTGGTGAGGTACCGTTGCCTGATGAACCCTCGCAAGCTCTGAGGTCCTCTGGTCCTTTTAGTCATTACAAAAGTCAGGTCATGCACATGCAGTGAGGCATCTTCTCAGTTTTACGACCTCTGTTTATGAACAGCGTGTCAGAGAACCTACAGGGAATGTTCATGTTTTTAAAATGAGGTTCAAGATCTGCCTTTTTGATCTTGCTTTGAACTAATATCTATCTTCTTTCTTAACTTTTTAAAAGTTTTTAACTAATATTTATTTACTTACTTTTACTTATTTTTAGTACTTTCAGTCTTTCATTAGTATGCATTTTTACATTGCTCTTATATTTTAATTTGTCATGTATTTATGTATTTATTTATTTAGAATAAATTCTTTAAGTCTAGAGCTCTTTCATGTTGATAATTTTTCATGTTTTTTATTGATTATTGATATTTTAGCAAGTGATGTATCCGCCGGGTGTTTCCCTGGAGGGAGCCCTCCAAATCAGAATACAGTAACACATATTGTGCAGTATATAATTTAAAAAAGAAATAGAAATCTAAGGTCAAAGAAACCGAGAAGTTACCCCCAGTTTTACTGTAATATAGGTTTTTGAGCAGTGCAATTAGGTTCAATAACAATCACAGTTAAAATTACGTTGTTACCATTATTACCTTTTTGTATTTCTATCTGACTATTTAATTCCACTTAAACTTGTCTGCTGGGATATCATTAAGCCTACCAAAAAGTAAAATAGTTTTTCACTTTTAAGCAAGTCCACGTCATTTCCTTATCCATCTCCTCGCGTTTCATGTAATATGGCACGAAATAGAACCAGAGTGGGAAACAAGTTGACGGTTGAAAATTTTGGGGGAAAATATCGTATTGCTTTGATTAATTACAAAATAATCTTGGATCTGCACCTTTTGCTTGTGCATCATAATTGAATGTTTTTTTTTTTCTTGACCCATGTCACAACCTTCCACAGGGATATTGGTTAAGAAGCTTTTTGAAGTAAACAGATGAGGCAAGTTGGTAGAGTGCAAAATAGAAAGTCTCCCTGTATGTTTGCTTGCAGTTGTTATCGAGCTTTATGTGCTGCATAATGGATACAGTGCAATGCTGCAATAGTAATTTCTTTTCATAAATTGCATTCAGCTCCCATGTGCATGATGCTCTGTCCTCTGTTAATATTTAATGCGATGATTCTAGCGTCTCTGTCAAAGAAATAGCAACTCTATTAAACGCAGCTTTCATCTCCCATTTTTCCTCTCCAAATAACAGGGATTCTCTAAAGGAATGGACGTGGACCAACAACTGGTTCTCCTATGCCATGATGTAAGCCATCAAAAAAAACATTTATTCAGATTATTTGAACACGTTAGATACCGACATTTCCCTTGTTGGTACGTCAAATAAATGAAAATGTTGCTCATAAAAAACACACAAGTAAATCAGAGTGTCACAGCACTGGGTTCCAGTAGATAAAAATGCTGGCTCCGCTGTGAATAAATCACACCTTGTGTAAAGTCATGCTGAACATTAGTGCTATTTCGTTTGTATTTTTTGGCTCTTTGAACTCGCTTCATTTGCTGTTTACAATAGTCCCAATATTGTGTTTGAAATAGGGCGACGGTGACCGTACTCATTGTGGTCTTGTCCTGCTGTGACAACATTCGCCGTCGGGTCCCCCTCAATTTCATCACCCTGGGTTTGTTTGTGAGTGGCACACAGGCAGCCATTAAATCAAAGCCTCACCTCACCTGCTCTCGTTTACTGGCTGTTTTTTCCTCTTATTTACATGTTTTTCTCTTTCTCTCCCTCCACATTTGTGACAGACTATTGCAGAGGGATTGATGCTGGGATCAGTCACAGTGTGAGTACCTGCATTTCTTCCCCAGCCTCGTGCTGGTCTTTCTGCAAATCTTCTCGGTACTGCGCTAATGTGATCTATCTACTTTACACCGACCAAACCGGGATATCGACTTGAGTTTTACCGATATAAAGAAATACAGTTCAAAAACTTACTACAGTGAAAGTCCTCTAGAACGAAACCTACATGGGCGAAAATACCCCCTTATGTGAAAAAATCTTCATGCATTAACACAATTCCCATTCTCCTGCCCCCCATACGACGAAACCCCCCCCCCTGTTGCGTTATACAAAATCATTTTCTCTGCTCCAGCCTCGCGAAGACATTCACGACAACGAAGTCTTATCCAACAGCGACCTCTACTGCTTCATTCGAAAAAAGGCAACAGCAACCACCACACTGGTTTACATAGTGAACGATGTTTATTTCGGTCATAGCTGCGAGTTTCCTGTACTCAACATACTCTAAGCTGCTCTGCCATTGGCTTACCGAGCATCATCCTGGCCTCCGATTGGCCAAGAGGAACCTCACTGTCTATGTGTGTAGATACTGAAGCTAGATCCGTAGCATCCGATTAGCTGCTCAGAGTA